TGAGATCACCTCAGGAATCGCAAAGCAGGCAAATCCGGAGTTGCACCAAGGTAGTTCATGTCTTTTTATCCCTCAACCTAATAATATTTTCCAACCTTTTACTGGATTTGGTGCAATTTTTGGTTCGGTATTCTATGTGCTTGTCAATATTGATGTCTACATTCAAATGCTTGTTTTTTTTGTTAAAAAAAGAAGTAAGAAGCAGGTCAGTTCTGTCCTTATTTGAGAGCTATTATGTACAATTCTTCTTCTGTCGTGGTCCTTACTTTTAGAATCTTAACATTGTTTTTTCTCAAGAAAAATTCTATTGGACTACACTCTGGTTTATGCCTCTTCATTCCTTTTTTGAGAAGTCATTGGGTCTTGGGTGTTGGTGGTGACTGTATGATCGATTGTTTTTTCATTTAAAAATTTTTTGTCTTAGGTTCACATGCAAGGGATTGCTGTTGGACGAGCCGTAGATTTGACACGGTTTGAGCGGTATGAGGATCTGCTTAAGAAACTGGAAGAGATGTTTGATATTGAGGGTGAGCTCTGTGGATCTACGAAGAAATGGCAGGTTGTGTACACCGATGATGAGGATGACATGATGATGGTTGGGGATGATCCATGGCAGTAAGTTCATCTTACCAACCCTTGAATTCTTCATTTGAGTCTCACAGTTGAAGATTGACTGCTTAAGTGCTTCAATTTTATCTCATCTTAAATTTAAGAACTAAGAATACCTGTGGTCCTCTTTCGGACTCTTCTTAAACGGAGCATAATGATTAGATGGTGTTGGGACAGTAGTACTGAAGATTCTTTTTTGTTTATTTTAAATTTTGGGTATCCATCCCATTTATGAACTTCGGCCAGAAGTAATTAGGTGAATGAATCTAAACTTCATGCCTTTGAATATTCATCCCGTAAAATCTATGTACTTTTGTTGCAGTGAGTTCTGCAGCATGGTAAGGAAGATTTTTGTCTATACAATAGAGGAAGTCAAGAGGTTGTCACCCAAGATAAAACTTACTCTCAATGAAGAGGTCAAACCAGGAAAGCCAGATTCTGAAGCAGCAGTCAACACCGAAGACCAGTCATCCATTGTGGGACCTGCATACTGATCTGCCCCCTTGTCTCTAGCTATATAATGAAAAATTGGAAAAAAAATTGGAAAATGGAACTTGATTGTCACATGAGATTCTGTCTGCTAGGATGATGCTATCTAAGACAAAGTACACATGATGGAAGAATTGGTTGAGTTTCCCTGCATGCTGAAATGTAGGAGGGCAGTGGTCTGTAATGCACATGCAATCTGGAGAGTCACTGCTCGTGACAGGGTTTGGGTGTTATGGTTATTGGTTGTCTAGTTTTGCCAAGAGGATCTCATAGTGCTTGCTTGTTTGGACCCAAATGGGCTACCAGAGTTTTTCTACTGTGTATGGCGGGGTACATGCTCTCCCATCTTCATTTTCTCTTTTTTTTTTCTTTTTTTCTTTTTTTTTTCTGGGGTGCCCTTTTGGTTTTGTATTTATTTTCTCTTTGTGATACTTGTCGAGACATGTTGCATCAAGCTTTTGTACATGAGTATATAGCCTTCCATTTCTTGCTTGCAAACGACTTGCGTCTAGTTTTTTTGTCGGGAAGAAGCTTTTGGGAGTTCAAAGCCTTGTCTGTGCTTCACGGATTCCTGTCACCTTGAGATGCTCATGCTACAGCTGATGATGCTGCATTTATGATTGTACATGCTGTTTGCCTATGCAGTGCTTCTTTGTTATACAAGTACAGGAATTTATATAGTCTGCACATCTCTTTGTTTAGAGGAAGAGAAAATTGACCTTTTACTGTTAAGGCAAGTCGATTTAGTCTAATTTTTCACTTACCTTATCTATGAAAAGTCAATGTACGGCAGACCTTAGTGTTAAAAGACTGAAAAAAAAAACATAGAAAAAGAGAAGAAGGAAACTGGGAACCAATTAAGTTGGCAGGGCGAGTACAAAGAGAAATCATAAATGAGATGGGAGGGGCTGCTTGAGAAGAGGATTGGGGAATCAGTTCAAATTTGTCAAACAAAAAGCAATTGGTTCCTAGTTTGTGGTTCACATAACTGTTATATACTATTTATATATTCTTAAAAATTAGATATGAACTCGAAGCTCAAGCATTCATTAGGAACAATTTAGGTCCATTATTTTGTAGTTTATATAAATATTGTTATTAATAGACATGCTGATGAATTTTCCTAGTTAGGCTAGTTTGAATGCACAGTTTCATCTGCTCATTCAATTCAAGAAACAGAAAACAGAGTTGCAAGAGTGTGGTGCACAATATTATCCCTCATTCTCTTCCCATTGTAGTAAGTTTTCAATCAAAATTTCAAGTCCAGCTTTATCTTGTGTTGTATCCTCTGGTGTTTATTATTTAAAAGTCCTCCTTGTGTTAAATGGACTAATATTTGCTTGTAGGGTTATAGATGTTTATAACTTTATATAAATATTTTAATTACTTCAACTTAGATATTGTAAATTAACTTCAAAATGCAGACTAGCAAACTCAACAGTGCATACTAGAAACATTCAAGTAATGAGATGGATACATCAGGTTTATCCATTCAAACTAAACTATTTTAACGAGAAAAACTTACATGAAACAAATGTTATAAGGAACAGAATTTCCAACCTGCAAACATGCAGAACACACGGCATGTTGGCTAAGGCTTAGGAATAAAACTTCTGACTGCAAATGCTAAAACCTCTGATAAGTGCGTTGCTTATGCCTTGTAAGGGAACTTCAAAGGTTGCCATTTGACAGCATGCACCAGTGTATACACAGACTATCTACCTCAACCTGATAAGATGAGACTCCAGAATATTGGGTGTTTCACTATTATGCCCAATATAGGGGCCCAAATAATAATAATAAAAACCTTACATGAAATGTACTTTAGAAACACATCAAAAAATAATTACAACTTAACAAAAAAACACACCCAAAACACTCAAAACAAAAGGGTAAAACCGGTTTGGCGAAAAAAGAAGGGTAAAACAGAAATTAGTATATTAGGTAAACTCAAAAATAGGATAAACGTGATATTGTCTCTAACTTAACCACTTGTTTAGACCACATGCGCAACCAATTCCACATTGGTCTACTTTTTTTTTTTCTTTCTTTTTCCATTCCATTTGGGGTTTGTTTGATTTTAGTTCAATTTGGGGGGTTTTGTGTTTGATTTGGGTTTAATCAGGCCCAGTCAACAGATTCGCTCTGATACCATGTTAAGATTTCAGAGAGACAGACCATTGGCCCACCATTAGCAATATCGATATTGTCCCCAACTTAGCCACTTGTTTAGGAGGTGTGGAGTTTTATACAAAAGGTCTCGATATTATTAGGAGTTGAACCATTTACTATATGAGACTTTCTATTATGTTAAGTTTCCGATGTGGGACTCGTGTATTCTTCAACATGCACATCTATATAATTCGATATGAAAAACACATTCAACTCATTGAAATAGTATACAACACTAGTAAAGTTCACGGAGTAATTGCAAATAAGATAATTGAATTTGCTAGTGTTCTAGCCCAATCATGCCTAATTCGGGCATGCTCCATCAACGATATCTTTGAATTTTGAGAGCTCGCTTAGGAGTGTCCAAGGCTCGCAAACAAGAAATTTCAACCCAAAAAAAAAAAAAAAAAAGGGCAACAAGAAACTGACTATTACTTCTTCAAAGGAGATCCAGACTGCTATGAGACTTCTTGTCTGTTACCAAAGTTTACTACTAGCTCTTGAAGAGTTAGGGTTGTTTCTATGTTTTGTGTTGAGGAGGGGGTGTGACGATATTAGGGTTAAGTACTGATCTTGTTCAATCATGGTTGAGATTGAAATGGAATGGAAATATATGTTTGGCTAAAAAAAAAGGAAAAAACGAGTGGTTTCGAACACAAATTATCATTATTGTGTGGTAGGGTAGTAATAAAATTGTGTATTTTGCAATACTCGTGAATTGGCCCCAAGGTCATTTGTCTTATCTGAAGTACCCAAAACAACCGCGAGCGAAGTTACATTAGAGGAAAGAAACCCCACTAGGGTTCGATCCTGGTGCCATGGGAGGAGGGGAATCCACCACCAAAGCGAGCAAGTATAGCTACAATGAATACCATCGTCAACGGCGTGGAGGATCCAAATGTCTAGCACTTGACGATCAACAAGTTTGGCCTTCTTGCATCGAGCGAAAATAGCCCAATTGATTACAACATTCTCTTTATGCCTTTTCATAGACGCGCGAGTACGTTTCGTATCTACTGTTACTCTTGTCGTTAATAAAAACATCTCCAATAATAATAGCAAACCAAACTCTTTAAATTGAAGTTTGTTGATCAGGCCGTTGGCCTAGTCCGTGACATTGGCCTTTGAGGGACCACCCTAGGCCTCAAACGAAGTGGGGCCAAAATTTGTATATAAAATGCTCAAGGCTATGCTACAAGTGATTTTTTGAGAGCCTAACGATACTTGTCCCAAATAAAAACCACTCCAAGTTTTTTAACTATGCAAAGGCCCACATTTAATAGAACTACTATACTAAGGCCAGATTTCACATGTGTAGAAAAAATTTATGCTTTCTTTCTTAATTAAACTACGTTTGCATATAAATGAAAAATGTGGCTGCTCTAAAGAAGAAGCGAGCTTTAGATGTTGCTGGGTTTCTTTTTTGTTGTTGTTGTTGTAGTTGTTAATTATTAATTATTTTATTTATTTATAAACTGAACTTAGTAATTTTTTTTAAAACAATTACTCTTTTATTATTTTTAAAACTTTAATGAATTTGTTAACGATGATTTAACGGAATGAACAAAATTAGCTAAAGTAATAAAAACGGAGGTAAATTGACCAAATTAAAAACACAGAAACTAAATTAACCAAATGAGAGACCATTTTGACATTTAATCCTTTTCTTTTTAATCACATGAGTCAGTCACTCAGGTCAGTGGAGGAACAACGGTTAGAAGATTTGAAAATTGAAAAGCGAAGTGAAATCTAATCCATTTTGAAAAAAGCACACGGCGCACCGCTCCTTGAAAAAGATGCCATACCAAAGCTCTTAAAAGCAGTATGTTAACTCATGACCCATTCTTATCATTTCCTGCTCTGCTCTCACGTCTCACCCCCAGTTCTCCCAACTCCTAACTTATATAGTTTTTTGCACCATTGCAGCCCAAAAAGAAGAGGCAGAAAAATGATAAAAGCTGTGAAGAAGCTCAAGTTTTGGTCAAGAAAGAAGAGAAAAAAGAAAACTCACCACCACCAACCCTATTATCCTCCTCCACCACCAACACGACCTGCACCGCTGCCACCCGGACCCAGGCATCATTGCTGCTCATGCTCATCGTCCACCTACTCAACTCAGCCCTCAGCTCCACCCTTACCTCCATGGCTGGATGCGGAGTACACCCATGAGGCTCTTTTTGCACCTCTAGTCCAACCTGCCCCAGAATTTGGCTACCAAGCAGATCCAAGACAACAAGAACCTACTATGAAAACCAATGCAGGCAGTGGCACCACCAGCATCTATCCAACCTCATCATCTTATCAGCAATACATGGTTCCAGATCCTGTGTATGGAGTACCAGTTGCACAAACAACAAGAGCCACAACAACGGAGAGATCCGCTGCTGCCGGGGTCTTCGGTTGTGTTGTTGACTTTGGCATCCGTTTCTTTCGTTGTTTCTGTCCCTGCTTTCACATTCGAGAAGTAGTCCTCCAGTAATATGATATATCAGTTGCATTGTATGAGACATATAGGCGTTTCTCAGTGGAATTTAATGTTAATTTCTGGTACAGATTGATTATAATAAAAATATATATATTCCGATGTGTTTAGTTTCTAGTACAGATTGAGGAATAATCCCCTGTTATCCGGAGTTGAGTTTAGTTTCAAAGGAAATTTCAGCTGTACCAGAAAGGAGGAGGTCACTTCTTTACCTTGCACTCAAGCTGAACCTCAGCAACCCTCCGAGCTGTATCTTGTGACTCTGAAAAGAGCAGGTCAAGTTCTTCCCTTGGTTTTGTAGCATCTTTAAGTCCTTGAGAGGAGATACCATCTCTTCCACCTTTATGTCCTTGAAACCACCATTCAACTCCACAACATCATCACTTGTAACATATCTGCATTTCAATTCAAGCCACCCAATTCATGATATAGAATTTCTGGTTTTAAAATAAAAAAGTAACATGGAATTATGAAAAGTTTGCCAACCCTTAAAATTTATCTCTAGCTTGATAAGAATGACAAATTTTGAATTTTATTCTAAATAATAAGAAAAGAGTAAGATATATCAGTATTAAAGAAAGAAAAAAAAAAGCATTATGGTTACAATAGAAAGTGAGGAAAGGCCACAAGAAGTAAAGTGAATGAAAGTGAGGGAAGGCCACAAGAACATAGCAGCCCCAGGTGAAAACCACTGCTGCATGACAGAATATGAAAGGAAATATGTCTAAACTCCTAAAGATTACGGAAAAAGAAGGGGAAGCTTCATCATTCCCAGCACATTCGATTGACACAAACCTACCAGGTCTCAGAAATGGTAAGCAGTACTTTGGAGAAGCACAATATCACGAAGTTCCTTTTTCGAACTCTTGTACTGCTGTAATAGATTGTAATAATTCTTTACACTATCTTCTTCTTCAATTATAATTGAATCCCTTTCTTGCTCAAGGTCCTTTCTTTGTTTCTGCAATAGTAACATAATTCACAAATAGAAGTGATTGCATCAGTAATTTCTTAATAGATTTCTTTAGATGGTTCCAGCTTGAAACTGATAGAATGACAAATTGCAAACAAATACAAACAAATCTCAACCAAGATACAAAGAGAAGAAAGACAAATTACAATTACAAGATTACTACCCTAGTCAAAGCCAACAAACCTCAAGATTGGGGATGGCACGATCAGCTTGAAACTGGTAGAATGAGTTTGGGCTCATTTTAGCCTTTTGTTTTTGGCTCGTTCTATTGGAATGAAGCTTGGGTAGACTATTTGAGTAACCTTTTATTAATTTTGTGCTTATAAGCCTTTTGTTTATTGTGGGTTGTTCTTGGGACAAACACTCGAGTTACTCTTTTAACCAATGTAGAGGGGGATACAAATTTTATGAATACGAGCAAGTTTTTTTTTTTTCTTTCCGAACTTGAGACACCTTTTAATATTCATAAGAGAAGTATTTAGCTAGTTGATTACAAGCTTAAAGATGCCAAAAATGTTTTGCAGCCCCCTTCTTTCAATGTTTTTTGAAAGTAAAAGTTTCATATTATAGATGGCTGCGTAATGGATTTCACGTAATTCAAAACTGTTAGCAACTCAATAATACAAATACACAAGCAGAGCACCCGACACTCTGCTCTGTATCATGTCCTGTTGCTAATAAAACCTTCATCCACATCCCTAAATCAGCTAAATTAAACAAGTCACATTCTTTGCGGACATAACCTTCTTCTAAACATTCTTAGAGATGAATATCACGTGGCTAACCTCCTGCCTTTATGATCTCGTTTGTGATCACGAGATCTATGATCTGCATGGTGCTTCTGGTTGTGTTTCCTTCCAGATTTGTTGTTATCTTCAGATGAATCTGTGGCCTCCAATCTATTGGAATGATTCCTATGGCTTGATTGGCTGCTACACAGTGATCTGTTTTCACTGTCACGCTTGCGATCGTCGTGTGTAGACTTTCTCCTTGATTTCCGGTGTTTTGAACGAGCTACCTTGTCAGATTCATATTGATCTTCCTGGCCAACTTTATCTTCTGAATCAAAATCACTTGATTCACCTCTTACATTATATGGACCTGGCCTGCCAGAATCATAACTCTCTGAACTTCCAGCTTTCGTTTTAGAATTATGAAATATCTCAACAGAACCATCTTCGGGTTCCCAGCGATCCTGTTTGTCCATGTGTACATCAGATATGTATCTTATATCAAAATCATGTGATCTATATCTCTCACCATCTTGACCCAAATTGCTGGACTCGTGGGTTCCATCTGACTTCAATTTTTCAACAAGAGCCCCTGCTTCTCTCATCTCTAGGCTCAGACGATCATGTCTATGTTCCAAATTCTGTGTCCGGAATCGATCCTCATCTGAAATATCTGACACTTCATCCAAGCGTTTTGATCGTTTCCTAGCATGACTAAGGTTTCTTTCTGCATCATTTTCCAACAAATCATCACTAAGTTCATAACTACAAGACCTGGTGGTTCTCCCCCTGTGATTTAAGAATTCAGAAGCTTTGCTAATGTGTCCGAATCTTTTCCTCCTACTGTGGTGCTTGCCACCTTTGCTGTTGCTGTCTGACCACTCTTCATCCATATCATGAGCTCTGTTCTCGATGTCATTATGATTATCTGGAGATCCCACTTTCCTCTTGTGTCCTGAACTTTTCCTCTTGTCATGGTATGCATCTCTGTCTTTGTCCCTATCTGACCAATACCTATCAACTTCATGATTTTTGTTCTGCCAATCTCCATATTCATCCAGGAATTCTCCTTTCCGCTGTTGGCTTGAGCTTTCCCTGGTGTAACCATGCTGTGCTACTCTGTTCCGTGCCCTATCAGACAAATCTCCGTCAGATTCAGTTTCATAAATTTTGTTCTTGTGGTCCCTGTTTCGTTGTCTTGAGCTTTTCCTTGTGTGACCATGGTGTCTATCTCTGTCCTCTTCCCTATCCAACAACTGTCTATCAAATTCAGTATCAGACCTTCTGCTCTTCCTACAATGATAGTCTTTTAAGTTCTTATTCTCTTCACATCGATCCTCATCAAGAGTTTTTCCTCGATGTCTATCATCACCTGTATGCCTCTGTCGTTCTGCATCCTTTAAAACATAATCTTCACTGTCATATCTTCTACCAGAACCAATGAAACTCGAGTAATCCCTCCCTCTAGATCTAGATCTTCGCAACCCGTACCTGCCGTGAATCTGGAAACTATAAGAATCTATCTACAAGTAAAAGAAGAAAAACACAACATAGAGAACAAACTCTCTTCTCAACTGCTGCACTGTTTTGCAATGCAAACAATATAGAAAAGTTGGAAGACAAAGACCAAGAAGTTCTCACAAATCTATTGTATTGTTCACCTGACCAATAAAAATAAGGAGCATTAAATCCAACACCTAACATCAAATTATGCCCTTCACAGTAATTCATATAAATATAAAATAGTTCAGCCTGTAGATCATACAAACTTCATCCAAATTAACAAATGGGCACTTCAATCACAGGGAAAAATTTAGCACATTAAGCCTGAATGAGGGCAGTTGTAGTTTCACATTACCATCATCTGCTGCTTTCTGAAAAAATTGGTTCTTCCCTCACATGCAAAACTGCATATGGTTGGGACATGCAATATAACTGATGATATTTTTATGCGCTATATAAACCCGGGTATCAAACAAGATAAATTTTAAAACTGTCACATGCAGATTGGTCTGTCTTTTCTCGCCCTTTGTCGATATAAATTGGGAGGTTGTAGTTCTGGGGATTGAACTCAAAATCTACCAATCTAATACCACAATAAGTTTTGTTTGTTACCTAATATTTCCAAAAATTTAAGCTGCTGCTAAATGAAAAGAATACCTCTCAGAATCTGCGATTGTCATCTTGCTAGAGTTCCTCAGCTGTCCAAAATTTTCCTCTACCATCTGTTTCTCGTCTGCATCAGAATAACCAAATAAAGCGACCATTTTCCTCACCCAATATTTTGGGGCCGGTCTATCACTATCAGCCCATTCATAGTCTCCACCAGGATTGCGGAAACAGTGGATAAAATTGCAAGCTGTACCATGGGAACAATTCTGCAAGATGAAACAAGAAAGATTACAAAAGAGAATGGTCAGACTTCGAAGTTAGAATTGACTTATAAAAGCCAAAGCTTATTTTATTACTCCAAAACAAAATTCTGTCTAATTTATTCAATGTAAAAAGTACAACCCAATTTAACACCTACAGAGAGTACGACTCAAATAGAAAAGTGGGAAAGGACTGTACCTTGTACCTCGACTTCATATATTCCCCACATATGGCAACCTTCCATCTGGTCACATTGATAAATTCGCAACTTATCTGTTAAAAACAATAACTAGGTCAACAAAACCACCCCCAAAGCTGAAAGTTCGGAAAAATGTAAACAAAGTCAGGAAATTAACATGTTATGGAAGTGAAAGATAAATAAAGAGATTTGAAAATGAAATAAAGAGCTGATGGCTTCAGTGTACATATATTATTCAAAGCCTAAATTTACAATATACACCTCAATTAAACATAGTTACTTTAAAGTAACATACTTTTCAGTGGTTGTGTGTGCATCTCCAACAGATGCCTATGTATGGCTTCATAGAAATGCCAAATTCAAATTCAATTTATCCCTTCATTCAATAGCAATGTGTAAAGTATGAAACAACGAGAAATTATATATATTCATTTGAAATGACAAGCCATATCAAATATGTACCAGCACAACTAGCAATGCAATTTTTGCAATGGGATTCAAAAAATCATAGAATATATAGAAAAAAATATCTGTGAAAAGGGGATCCATCCATCAATACATAATAGGATCTACTCATCTGTACAGTTTTTGACTTGAGTTGTGATTATGCATCTTAACTATAGCAGATATCTCATATTCTCAGCAAGAACAAAAGTAAATCAAACCCGTTATTACTGAGTAGGTACATGATTTGCCTTACAGGTAATTCAACAACAACATAAAATTACTATTGCCAAATTGAATTTCTCTCTTTTTTTCTTATGATTTTATTAAAACTAATTAACCAATAAAATAGACACAAAAATCCAGCACAACCAAGATGAATTACAGTAAAAGGGATATCCCGACATGTTTTAGACAAAGAAAC